GTGGCATTGCACTGAATTCGACACAAAATGACACAAAAAGGTTTTTTTTTTTCTAAATCATTAGTGTTTTTTGAGGAAACGAATTTAAATATTAAATTTAGATGTGGAAAGAGTAGTGAAATTAACTGCTGAAGCTCCACAAATTTTATATGGACAAGGGTATTTACCGGAGCGAGGCAGGATGTAGCACAAGGCCGTTTTTTAATACGGGGAAAAACCGAGTCCAGTAGACTCGGGGAAAATTCCTCGTAGACCCCGTATATACGGGGCCGGGTAGCTGTCTACCACCCCAGACAAGACTCTTCCCTTCGGCATAGCCTCGTCTGGGTTCCTCTCTGCCCGAAGGGAGAGAGTTCGACCAAGATATATTATATGGACAAGGAGCAAGGGACAAACACATTATTATTGAATCATTGTGCCATCAAATAAGATCTTCATTTACTTCAAAGAGAAATTATACTGAACATTTTAGCGATATTATGATCTAATATATTATACAGTGCATTAATTTTAGTGCAATGTAAATTTAAAACATTTTGTCTTATAATGTGTTCCCAGAAATATTATAGGGTTATATACACTTTTATGTATTTTTTGTTTTTTATTAATTATGATCGAACTGATATTTTTAACTTGAATAGGCCTTTTGAAATCTTTTAAATAGTTTTGACATATTTTTTACTTATCGAATATATTAAAAATAATAGAATATTTTGCTTGTGGTGATTCATAATAAGAATTTGGCTTTGAATATATTTTTTATTCAATGAATCTAATAAGAAAAAGATATTAATTTTATTTCGATTTATTCTTGAAATAGTAAAAAAGGCTGTAGAATAGAACGGCAGAAAGTTGTGTTAAATAAAGAAATATTTTATTAGTTCTAGCTATTTGAATCAAAATGAATCTTTCAAATAAGGGCCTTCGTCTTTTGTTTGATTTTAGGAACGGTTGATCTATCTATCTCAGTCTGTTCATTATCTATCTATCTATCTATCTATCTATCTATCTATCTATACTTGTTCATATCTATCTATCTATCTATCTATCTATCTATCTATCTATCTATGCTTGTTCATATCTATCTATCTATCTATCTATCTATCTATCTATCTATCTATCTATCTATCTATCTATCTATCTATACTATTCATATCTATCTATCTATCTATCTATCTATCTATCTATCTATCTATCTATACAGTAGTTTTAGTGAGATTTCTAATAAAGAATGAAAACTTAAAACATTTTGTTTTAGAATTTGTATCCATAGGTATTAGGGTATTATCGACATTTTTATCTATTTTTTCTTCTTTTTTATAATTATGTTCTATCAAACTGTGAGATCATATTCGTTGATTAGCATTTTTTGTAATCTTTTATAATTTTTCCAAAATTCCCACTTATGGAATATATTAAAAAATTGCACATTTTGCTTATGGGAATTCATAATTAGAATTTTGGTTTGTATATATTTTCCATTCAATGTATTTAATACAAAAAAATATCGATTTTATATGGATTTTTTTCTTGAAAAAATAAAATTCTGAAGTCAGTTTGTAAGCAGAAATCTGCGGAAATTATTTCCTTACTTTTTTTTCGAAAGATATTTTAAATAAATGTTAAAAAATTGGTATAAGTTTCGAATCTAAATTTTGCTGACACTAATTGGCACATTCAACTTCAGCTTTTCCACCAAGTGCAGTGTTGATTTTCAAAAATGTCTGAAAAATCAACTCCCCCACCTAGTGACCGGGTGTAGGGGAATACGTTTTGGCCGTTTTATATTATTATTATTATTATTATTATTATTATTATTATTATTAGTTCCGTTGATTTTCGGTGTGTACACATTTCTTTCCGGGTCCCGCCCAGAGACCTAAAGTTAGAAATAGCATCATGACACTTTCCACTGACAAAAAATATATATATATTAAAATAAAAATATTTTACATAGATAAATTCCTTCGTAAAGTGTGGACTGTAATTGTCAGAACAATTTTTTTGTATCTCTTTGAGGCATGGACTTCCAGGAATCCCTTCAATTAGTCTACTGGAATATTTGCCAACCAATCCTAGGGCTCCAACTACAACGGGGATTGTTGATGTTCCCATGTGCCACATTTTTGAGATTTCTATTTCAAGGACCTTGTATTTTAACAGCTTTTTGAATATCTTCAAAGATACATTGCAGTCTGCAGGGACAGCCATATCAATAAGAAGGCATTTTATTATTATTATTATTATTATTATTATTATTATTATTATTATTAATAATAATAATAATAATACGAGTGCTATTATGTTTATTTATCTTCATTTGGAACTGTAGATGACATTATCAAATTACTATTCTTCCGAGAATGGTGTAAATAAACATCGAAATGTTTATCAATTTAGTTTCTGAATTGAATATTGATGGCTAAGCTCATATTTATTCATAATTTAAAATCCAGAGTATACGATTCAAATATACATACGTATCTAAACATTAAAAAAAGATGCTAGGAATTCGTGTAGACGAGCGATAAGTTTCTCTTTAGCGACAAAATACCGGTTTAAAGAATAGAAAACGTCGGGAGAATCCGAGTTTATTCTCTTCCCAGGAACCACTCTTGAATAAAGCTGGCGTCATATTTCTGGATATCGATAATTTTAAGATCCATTATGAAAAGCCTGTCGTTGTCTTAGCGAATTTCTAATAAGCTGCCGAAAATATGTAACTATTTGTATTGATGTAGCGAGTAAATTGTGTGGATTAGGGTGAGATCTGATGCTTAAGTCGTCTATTTTTTTCAATTAATGCTAAATAAATGTTGTTAATCGACTCCACTCCAGATGGGCTGAGGCTATGGATCGATAACATATGTAAAATGAAAATTCAATAATTTTAATATGAATTTTTGCTAAAAATATATGATATACTAGCTTCAGTTATAAAAGTAAAAAAGTATGTATGTATGTATGTATGTATGTATGTATGTATCTATCTATCTATCTATCTATCTATCTATCTATCTATCTATCTCATTCTTTCTCATATCTATTTATCTGTTTCTATCTATCTATCTATCTATGCTATCTGTTCGCATCTCTGTCTGTCTATCTATCTATCTATCTATCTATCTATCTATCTATCTATCTATCTATCTATCTATCTCATTCTTTCTCATATCTATTTATCTGTTTCTATCTATCTATCAAGCTAGCTAGCTAACATGCTCAGTCTGTTCGCATCTATCTGTCTGTCTGTCTATGTATCTATCTATCTATCTATCTATCTATCTATCTATCTATCTATCTCATTCTGTTCATTTCTATTTATCTCAGTCTGTTTCTATCTATCTATCTATCTATCTATCTATCTATCTATCTTATCTATCTATCTGTGTGTGTGGTGTGCTTGTTTTGTGAAGATCATGTTTCTATAAAGAACTCATGCACACATACTCAAGAATATAGAGACATATATACGAATGACAAATATCTGCCATTGTTTTTTCACCAATCAGCTGGGGTATGCATCCATTGTTTGAAGTGTCTGAAGTTTTCTTTATTTATTGACGCAGTGGTACTGATAATTTCTCGGCACGACCCATTTCTCAAAATAATTAAATTTTAAATTTCTTCCATTTCCTTCAAATTTCTGTTTCAGGCTGAGGTTTCATAACACCCCTTGACTGTTCATATCTATCTATCTATCTATCTATCTATCTATCTATCTATCTATCTATCTATCTATCTGTATTCTCTTTATCTCTCTCTCTCTATATATATATATAAATATATGATTTTATATATATATATATATATATATATATATATATATATATATATAATGAGGAAAGCTGTAGCTGACACAAGTCAATATACGATCAGCTAGGTCACGGGGTATATGATGTTGAAAGACACGAAATCCCTGATGAACCTCGTGTAAAAACATCATTGATGATATGTGCTCGACCATCAAACATGTATTTCAAATATATATATATATATATATATATATATATATATATATATATATATATATATATATATATATCACCCTCATGTTATCTATCTATCTCGGACTGTTCATATCTATCTATCTATCTATCTATCTATCTATCTATCTATCTATCTCATCTATCTATCTATCTATCATCTATCTATCTGTTTTCTTTTCATATCTATCTATCTATCTATCTATATATCTTTTTCTTTCATATCTACCCCCGTATCAATTATCTTTATCAAACGTAATAATAATAATAATAATAATAATAATAATATTATTTCTCTACACGTCGTCGTATCCTTCGATCTAAAAAGCAATTCGTTTCTTTGTTTTTAAGCGCCAGGCCTCTTTTTTTCCCTGCTTGTTTGTATGGATATTTTATACCATTTATAATTTTCTATTCCCGCTAAATTTCGTGAAAATCAAGTTAAAACACAGAAAAAAAGTAAAAAAAAAAAAAAAAATGAAAGAACTGCTTGTCGTCTTTTCATCCTTCCTCAGCTGATGACGATCATTTGGTGTCTTGCTGGTTTCGTTTTCCACCACTGTAAATTGTTGTTATTTCAAATTCCGGCTTTTTCGGTCGTCCATATTACGACAATAGGAAGCTGCACACAGTGCATAACAAGCGTAAGTTGCACACGTACACTGGCGCCACGGTGTCGCCAACCATTCGTTCCCCACCATTTAAATCTATATTGGCTTTCTTCTTTCTGTCTCCCTATCTGGAGATCGACTTCTCTCAATATGGATTACAGGCATCGATTTATTTGGATATTTGCTTTTTGTATGTCAAGATATCTTGATTTTCTCACACACTCCGTCTTTCTCTCTCTCTCACTCTCTCTCTCTCTCTCTCGTCAAATATAGTCTCGTATCCGTAGTTGGGTGCAAATGTTCACAGCGCTCTAAGAGGAAAACCAGACAAGGGAATACGCTGTTTTCAATCGGCTTTTTGCTTGAATCTTTTTTCTTTGATTTTGGACGAATCATTTGGATAATGACGTCAGGATCTATCTATCTATCTATCTATCTATCTATCTATCTATCTATCTATCTATCTATCTATCTCAGTCTTTTTATATCTATCTATCTATCTATCTATCTATCTGTTCTATCTCTCTATCTATCTATCTATCTTTATCTATCTATCTATCTATCTATCTCAATCTGTTCATATCTATCTATCTATCTATCTATCTCATCTATTCATATCTATCTATCTATCTATCTATCTGTCTATCTATCTGTTTATCTATCTCATCTATCTATCTATCTATCTATCTCAGTCTGTTTATATCTATCTATCTATCTATCTATCTCAATCTGTTCATATCTATCTATCTATCTATCTATCTATCTATCTATCTCAATCTGTTCATATCTATCTATCTATCTATCTATCTATCTATCTATCATCTATCTATCTCAATCTATTCATCTATCTATCTATCTATCTCTATCTATCTATCTATCTATCTATCTATCTATCTCATCTTTGTTAAAGATGATTTCTCTTTCTCGTTATCTCCCCGACTTATCCACCGTGTCATGTTTCACATTATCACACACACACACATCTACACACACACATCTGTCAATCAGATGCATGTCTCTGTTCTAAAAATTCATCCATCTCTCTTTCTATCTTTTGTTCTTCTTATTCACATCTATCTATCCTATCTTGTATAAAAATCTCAAACTACGCACTAATTATACAAATCCATTTTTTTCTTTTCTTTCTTTTCTTTCTTTCTTTCTTTCTTTCTTTCTTTCTTTCTGTTCTTTCTTTCTTTCTTTCTATTTCTTTCTTTCTTTCTTTTCTTTCTTTCTTTCTTTCTTTCTTTCTTTCTTTCATCTATCTTTCTTTCTTTCATTCTTTCTTTCTTCTATCTTTCTTTCTTTCTTTCTTTCTTTGTTTCATTCTTTTTCTTTTTCTTTCTATCTTTCTTTCTTATCCACCGTTTCTTTCTTTCTTTCACACTTTCTTTCACACACACTTTCAATCAGATCTTTCTTTTTTCTTTCTTTCTTTTCTTTCTTTCTTTCTTCCTTTTCTCCTTTTTTCTTTTCTTCTTTTTTCAAGATTTCATCCTTTCTTTCTTTATTTCTTTAACTTTTTCTTTCTTTCTTTCTTTCAAATCTTTCTTTTTTTCTTTCTTTCTTTTCTTTCTTTCTTTCTTTTCTTTCTTTCTTTCTTCTTTCTTTCTTTCTTTCTTTCATTCTTTCTTTCTTTCTTTCTTTCTTTTTCTTTAGTTCCTTCATTTTTTCTTTCTTTATTCCTTTCTTTAGTTCCTTCATTCTTTATTTCTTTCTTTCTTTTACAAACAAGTATGTTACGTACATCTTTTATAAAAATCTAAATGATTTTTTATTTATATTCCGGCTTTTATGGACATCAATAAGCGACAAACTTGTATTGGTTCGTTCTTTTGTTACTACTGCTTAAGTACGTTTTACTACACCCAATTCTTTCGGGCTATATATATATATATATATATATATATATATATATATATATATATATATAGATAGAGAGAGAGAGAGAGAGAGAGATAGATTGGAATTAATCGTGATTAAAATTCGATGCAAAATTTGACATCCGGGTTTTTTCTACCAACTATATATATATATATATATATATATATATATATATATATATATATATATATATATATATATATATATATATATATGTAATGCTAATAATGATATATATATATATATATATATATATATATATATATATATATATATATATATATATATAATAATTATACTTGGTTGTTTAAAATGAACGCCGATGACAAAATTAGTATCCAAGGAAAAAAACTGATAAAAAAGGAAGAACTAGAAGCATCCGAACAATACGAAAATAAAATCGTACAGTGCCTTAAATTTCCAGACCCCAAAAAACCAAGCGAGTAACTAAGATAAAACGTTTTTACATATATATATATATATATATATATATATATATATATATATATATATATATATATATAGGCTCTATTTTTTCTATTTTTAAGCAGTCAATGTGCTTATACTGACTCGGCTACGATGTCCGTTGACAGTCAAGCAAGACTGAATAGTACCTTTAAGTAAAATCCCTCTTATCACAGATTCTTAAAAAAAAAAATTCAAACGTAAACAAAGCAATTCCTAAAGATATCATGGATTTTTGTAGTTATTAATTTGACTGACTTTTATCACTTCAATGTTATTTTAATAGATAGCTCTATTTGAGAAGCTTTGTTATTTTATATTTATGATTGTCTACTGGCTGTGAATATATATATATATATATATATATATATATATATATATATATATATATATATATATATATATATATATATATATATACAGTGTAACCTGGATATAAGAGACCCGGATGTAAGAGATATTTTCTCTGGTCCCAAATTAGAGCCTGTGTTCATGTATATAAATAGACCAAACACGGATATAAGAGACTTCTTCTCCGGTCCTGGACAACTCTCTTATATCCGGTATATATATATATATATATATATATATATATATATATATATATATATATATATATATATATATATATATATAAAGAACTCATGCACACATACTCAAGAATATAGATATATATGCGAATGACAAATATCTGCCATTGTTTTTTCACCAATCAGCTGGGGTATGCATCCATTGTTTGAAGTGTCTGAAGTTTTCTTTATTTATTGACGCAGTGGTACTGATAATTTCTCGGCACGACCCATTTGTCAAAATAATTAAATTTTAAATTTCTTCCATTTCCTTCAAATTTCTGTTTCAGGCTGAGGTTTTCACAGCACCCCTTGACTGTTCATATCTATCTATCTATCTATCTATCTATCTATCTATCTATCTATCTATCTATCTATCTATCTTCTCTTTATCTCTCTTTCTTTCTCGCTCTCTCTCTCTCTCTCTATATATATATATATATATATATATATATATATATATATATATATATGTGTGTGTGTTGTGTGTATATATATATATATATATATATATATATATATATATATATATATATATCACCTCATGTTATCTATCTTTCTTTTTATATATCTCGTACTGTTCCTATCTAACTAGCTATATATCGATCTATATATCTATCTGTTTTTCTTTCATATCATTTCATACCTACTATTATTACTACTACTACTAATAATAATAATAATAACTATTATTATTATTTCTGTACACGTCGTCATATCCTTGAATCTAAAAAGCAATTCGTTCCTTTGTTTTTAAGCGCCAGGCCTATTTTTTTATTTTTTTATTTATTGAGGAAGTGGTACTGATAATTTTTCAGCACGATTCATTTCTCAAGATGAGTAAACTTTTAACTTCTTGCATTTTCTAAATTTCTATTTCAGGCTGAGGTTTTTATAGCACCCTTTGACTGTTCATATATATATATATATATATATATATATATTCACATTTCTCACCCGCACAGGACAGATATGCTTACATACACACATCACGCACTCCCCCAAAACTAAAAGGTGTCGTACACTTAACACGCCCAGCCCCTTCCCAGCAACCAATAAAACTGTCAAAATGACCAAGAAGGTAATTCTAAGACTCATGAATCTCCCAAGCCTCTATTTTAAAAACAATTCGAAAGAGGCCGTTTGACCAACACAAGGCCTGACCAAAATTAACGATAAAGAAAACAAATGAAAACTACAGATAAAGTTCATTTTCTTCAGAGACAGTAATTTTCTCCTGTTGCTAACTGCTACTAACAAGCAGAGATCTTTCTTTGTCTCCTGATGATGGCCGAAACTAGTCGAAGAATTCAACAGAAATAATAAATAATCTGGTTTCCCTTATTTATATATATATATATATATATAATTATTATTTATAAAAAAAAAATTATAACATAAATATGTTATATAATATAATTTATAACATAAATATGTTATATAATATAACATTTATGTTATAATTTTTTTTATAAATAATAATTATATCTGCTCTATTTTGTATTGAGCACTCTTTTAAGAATATTAATTGTTGGTTATTGGAATTCATTCCGTATACACCAATTATATACTTGTATATATATATATATATATATATATATATATATGCGTGTGTGTGTGTGTGTGAGGAAAACCATCAATAATTTAATGGTTTCTTTCATACATTACTTTCCAATTTCAGAAAGTTTTCTTCTCCAAATTTTGCTCACATGGGCGACGCTTTCAAAACGTATTCCTAAAAATTTTTGATTATTTTGAATGAAAAAGAAAATGAAAAGAATTCTATTAGGATCTAAAATTTTTATGTGTATGCTTGTCGAGCATTAATCTCATGTGACGACAACGTGACCATGCTAATCGGAAAGCTGATCATTTTAAAAATCTTCAGTTATCTGTTTTGAATAAGACTTGTTGTTTATATCCATCGTCTTTGTCAAATTGAACTGAATTGTATTTTAATGAATATTGTCTTGAAAAAGGTTTATTAAACCGAAACGTCAGACGTCGACATTTCATTCATTTTAAACAACATAATTGCATTTAAGGATTTTTGTTTGTTTTTTCCAAATTTTTCTTCATTCTGTCGGATCTATATCCATTTACATTTGTTTATACATATATATATATATATATATATATATATATATATATATATATATATATATATATATATATATATATATATATATATATATATATATATATATATATATATATATATAGTTTATGATATAGTTTGTGACCCTGGATTTTACGTTATTTGCGATGTTCAGACATGTTTGTCAGACGATTGCAAATAGCGTGAAACCCCGGGTCACATCAGTCCAACTAAATGTGTTCGCTCTATCACTGATATTGAGCGCTTTACAATAAGTACCACACATATATAATATATACATAATATATATTAAAAATGCATATATATAGATATATGTATACAAACATTTTACACACACACACACACACACACACACACACACACACACACACACACACACGCACGCACGCACACACACACACACATATATATATATATATATATATATATATATATTAGGAAAAAGAATAATTTTTGATTTATTTCAAAAATAAAAAAATATAATGTTCTTCAGAACAATGCATCTTTTTATACAATCATTTATAATACTTAAATATACTATTAGAATTATAAAATAGATAGAATTTTGATAGGATCAAATTTTTAGAAGATTAGATTTTTAGATAGATAGATTCCGATCCTTGTCAGATCGATAAATATTGATTTGCTATCATGTTAAATCGATAAATGCCTTCATTTATCGATTTAACTTGATATCTAATCAATATTTTCGATCTATCTATCTATCTATCTCTGTCTTTTCACTAGATCTATCTATCTATCTATCTTCTAAATCTATCTCTGTCTTCCATCCATCTATTCTATCTATTTTTATAATTGGAACAGTATATTTAAGTATTGTAAATGATTGTATAAAAAGATGCATTAAAATTCTGAAGATAGGATTTCATTTTATTTTAATAACGAAATAAATCATAAAATTATTATTTTTACTATAATATATATATATATAGTTTAAGGGATGCTATATACGCTGGTTAAAGTGCTCAATATCAGTGTCCACTTTATTGGATTTGAACATACACAGACATATATATATATATATATATATATATATATATATGCCAAGTCTTTCCTTCTATTTTTTGTTTATAATTATCTATCTATATATAAATGTCAGTCTCTTCATATCTATGTATCTATCTATGTAACTATCTATTTATCTATCTCTGTTCATTATCTGTCTATCTATCTATTTGGTGTCTCATGGCCTATGAGGTCTCCACTCTGCCCTATCCGCAGCTGTCGCCAATATATTGCTATCCTACTTCTTCCATGTGCTTTTTCAAATTCCTTCATGTCGTTCTTATTCGCCCTCTTCATTTTCGTCCGATGCAAATGTCAGTGCTACGTTGCAGTCGTTGTTCGAGTCTTGCTTTAATATTTTCTTCTTCTTCTTCTTCTTCTTCTTCTTCTTCTTCTTCTTCTTCTTCTTCTTCTTCACAATCTCCTATCCTTTGTACCCCTAACAATGATTGTCTTTTTATTCCCACCCCACACCTAGTTCTGCTATCCATTTTCTCATGCTCCTCACGGAGGTCACTCACTGTTTCCCGCTAGCTTTCTTTTCTTTCATAATCTCTTTCATTGTCAATGCACTTAGTCCGGTAGAGAATACTGACAGTGTAGATCAAATATATAAACCTCTAAAGGGATTTGATGTCTAATCTCGCCATGACATTATCCGTCATATTTAACCATCTTAATCTTTCAAGCAGGTCGTCGGAATTTCTTGCTGACTCTTCCAAGTAGTGTTGGAACTCCCCACTCGATTGTAGTCAATATTAAACGAATACCACAAAAATTCCTCAATTTTATAGTCTAGGAAAACTCACATTCCAGTCCAAACCATGACATTTAGATTTTGCTCCCGGTGGTAATGGTAATATTAGCTTTTTCCTTGTAAGGAAACATTTGACATTCAGTGAACGAGCAGAAAGTAGTACTGTCAGCTAAAATTCATAAAATATTTCCCTTTCAATCATCTTACATGAAAATGTGTTTTTTATCATTTCAATTCATGCAAGGGGACAATGCCACTAAGACGCAAGGGGTTACTGGCAGAGAAATAGAATGAGAAGACTTTAAACGAAACTGGAATCCTAAACAGTAAATAAAGAATAGACCTTTACTTATTTTTACAAAAACGGAGAGGAGTGTGAATGGGGCGATAGGCCACTCTATCTACATTTAAGTTGTTATTGTTCTTTCTAATATTGGCCGAAGTTTCCTTTCTAACCTTTTATTTGAAGTGGTGTGGAAAGACAACACCCTGATTATGTCATTTCTCTTCGAGTTACATGTGTTATCCATTTTAGTCATAGACGAGCGAAAGTCATATCAAAAACTTAACTTTAGCGCCACTCCTCAGGTACCTTCTATTTGTTCAAATCCCACGGTGGCGGGGGTGGGGGCACACGTAGATTATAGCCTAACTATGATGAGCTGACCCGAGTTACATTTTCTGGAAGAGAGTGTACAAATCTGGTGGAATCATCAATTTCAACACGTTCAGTACGACCATCAGCCGCATCCAAGCATTTCAAACTGCTAACCATTTTCACTCACACGGCTTGGATCCACCCAACTCAACAGAGCCGTACGCTGGGATCACCACCCCAGACAGACAACACTAAAATTCTGACAAATCGACGATGGTGAAATTCGAACCCGGGTCACATCGTCGGAAAGCGAATGTTCTAACCACGTGTGGACGAATGTTCACGTTCTCTCCTCTCTCTCTCTCTCTCTCTCTCTCTCTCTCTCTCTCTCTCACACACACATTTACACTTATATATATATATATATATATATATTTATTTGGGCAGCAATCCCGCTTTTATACAAGTTTCATTAAAAACACTGATAAGTTATGGCGGTTATTTATTTATTTATTTTTTCCTTTTTTCGGACATAAATTTGGTCGAAATTATTCGAATGTCTTGTATATCCGGGAGCTTTCGGCTATTTTTTTTTAAATTTTATTTATTACTTTTACTTAATTGTATGAATTGTTCTCTTACGGTGGAGTAATGGCTAGCGGCTCGGGTTGATGAATCGGAGAGCCCGGTTCGAATTCCAGTCGAATCGATTACATTCACTTACGTGCTAATACCCTTGGGAAAGTTATGAATCGTCTTCATCTCCCTCGAGCTATGGGTAAAATAGCAGGAGAAACTGGGTTCTATAGGGTTGGATGGCAATCGATCTAGGAGAAAGACAACTCTGAAATTCCAACCTCTAGGTTGGGGAGGGGTTGTGCACTAGGCTAAGTCACTTAAGAATCCACAATTATCTTGTAGCCATCTGTTCACCAAGTATATAACATCTGGATTGTTTTATGTATGTATCTAGAGGTACAGGAATGTCTTATTTTCAAAACACGGTCAGCACATTGTGGCCATGTTCATAGTTGATGTTATTGAGTGTTTGCTTTTTGTTTTTTATTAGTAGTACTTTCATTATCTTTAGTCTTTTTTTTTAAATGTGGGCGAAGCTATTATATTTGTATTGTCTACGAGTAGTAATGGAAAGAGTTTGCTAAGTTTCCGTGTGTGCCTAAATGGATTCTAACGTGAGTCTTATCTATCTATCTATCTATCTATATATATATATATATATATATATATATATATGTATATAAAGTAGACTCAGAAGTCAACACTCAGTGGCGATAGTCTGTTTCATGCTTAAATACTATCTTCAACCCACTTTTACATTTGCTGATATATAGCACTTTAACACACACACACACACACACACACACACACACACACACACACACACACACACACACACACACACATATATATATATATATATATATAGATAGATAGATAGATAGATGGTTAGATAAACCTCCTGAGTTAGACAAACCTACTAGGTTTCACCTTTAAACGGATCGTCCAGGAAAGCTTGGCTGACGATCCGTTTAGGTGAAACCTAAACAAGGTTTGTCTGAAAACTAGGTGTATCTAGGTCTGCTCTACGATTGTATTGAGCTCTTTTGTTAGTTAGTTGTTACTCGTATCAGGAATTTTTCTTTGGGCTTCAGACCTGCATCTGTGCGATTTTTTTTGTCGGCAGAAGTTCATGTTTGTAGCTCTTTCTTTTTTTAAACCTTTTTTCCTCGAAATTGATTTGATTAACAAATCAAAAATTCGAGGGTTTTTCAAAACGAGTCTAGTTATTTATATTTATATTTATATGTATATATATATATATATATATATATATATATATATATAATTATTTATTTAAAAAATATCATTCCATCGCTACATAAGAGTTCTCATGTTCCAAAACAAGAGCCGAAAACTTCAATACAATTATTTGAATTAAATTGAATTAATGTACCACGCTCTGTTCCATCTTCAAGCGAATTTTTTTTTTTGGAATAACTAATTCCAAATTTACGCTTTTATAAGCATATACATTATTAAAATTAAAATTACTATGGTAACGGCTAGAGCAATTATTTAAAAAAAAGTGGTGGAAGGGTTAATAATTTGTATCAATATCTCAGTTACATTCAAAGAGGTCAAGTCAGGGTAAGGTTGGGGTGTCTAAATTTAAAGTGGAAGATGACATCGTCTAGTCTGGTTAAGTGTCTATGGAGAATTTATTTATTTTATATATATATATATATATATATATATATATATATATATATATATATATAGAGAGAGAGAGATGACGAAAGATCTTTCTGGATATCAAAAAAAAATGAGTAAGCGATTGAAATTCTCTTGGGGAGAGAAAGGCGTTAAAATAGCGAAATTCTTTACAAGTAAGGCAAAGATGAAGATCTCTTAAGACTAAGCTGGAAGGATCAAAACAGATTCTTATTTTGAAGGATTGACGCCCATGTCTTCCATCTTTGGCCAACGGAACGAGTGCCATTCCTTCATATGACACAGGAAACGTACACTCAATAAAATAAACAAACGAAAAGATCAAATCTTTTGTCTGGGAGTATTTTACATTAGTGTCTGGATTCAAAGAACATTAAATTTTATTTGATTTGTATCAGTTGGATTTATTTACTGCCAAAACTTTACAAAATAGCGACGACTTCAAGACACTGGGACATTCTTCTAATTGTGGATATATTTTAATGAACCGTTTACACTGTTTCGAGAAAATTGAAACAAAAAATACACTTGTATTAGAATCCGAAACAAGGAATTGAAATTTCTAGGGCACATAATGAGGAAAGAGGACTTAAAGAATTTGACACTCACAGGTCGTAAAGAGAGAGAGAGAGAGAGAGAGAGAGAGAGAGAGAAGGAAAGAGATATGAAGTAAATGACATATAGACAGACAGATAGATAAAAGGTTGATATAAAAGTGGATAAAGGCGTTGGTTAGATCCAGTGACAGGACCCAAAGAGTGTGAGTTCAATACCCAGTTAAGGCAGTGGAGAAGGTTTAGAGATAAATTAACAGGAGATAACTGATAACTGACATCTATTAAAACATGGCACGTGGAACTAGAACAGTCTACCCCAGTGAGGGAAATAAAGCTTTCAGTTCGACATTCCACCTACCTGAAGAAGGCCGGAGCGTACAATGGCTGAAACGTTGTAATAAATATGGCGGCAAAGATGAGGACAATATTCCGAATAATGTAAATAACGTACATAAGACCTCATCTCAGAAATATATATATAGGGGTACCTCAAGGCGGTGTAATGGTTAGCAAGCTTGGCTCGCTAGAACAATTACAACTGAGTAGTGAGTTCGATCCTCACTGGGTGCTCCCTAATTTCGGCCTTGTGCCACATCTAAGCTACGCTTGGAAAACCACTATATATATATATATATATATATATTTCGTAAAATACATATTTTTGATGGTTTGCCCCACATTATCAGTGATGTTTTTAGCCAACGTTCATCAGGGTTTCCGGTCTTTCAACATCATACCTCCTCTCTACGGCGGTCCAGTGGGTGTAATGTGTTGTGATGTAGCATATATTTCTAATCTTCATTTAGTCTTTTTTTTAATTTAGTTTCCTGGGTACGTCGATTTACGTCAGTGGGTACCTTGTGCAATCTGTTTTGTATATTTCTGCCTCTGTCCTGTTGTTGTTACTACAGTGTAACCCGAATATAAGAGAGTTGTCGGGACCGGAAAAGAAGTCTCTTATATCCGGGCTTCTCTTATATCCGGGTCTCTTATATCCGGGTTACACTGTATCGCATTTGGTGTTAAGCATATGTGTTTTTCTTTTATGGATAGTGCTGATGAAATTTAGATAAATGTTATTTTCAATTTTATCTCTTACAGACCTCGTAGACAGAACATAATTTTCGCATGGTTATTTAGATTATTATTATTTGTGAAATTACGTATTTTTATTCTGTGAATTTTGTAGTCTTTACATTTGGCATTGTGCTCGATATAATTCGACTTCATTGAAGTGTTTTCAGTGTATTTTTCGTCTTCGGGGAAGGAATTGGGAATTACAGATTTTAAGGGTTCTTAAATAAATATCTATGATTAGTCCGGATATTATTTTTAAGGGGTGATAGGAGTAAAAGTAAGTAAACAATCTACTGACGATCGGCTCTATCGAAGCATCAAAAATGGATTATTTAGAGTCTTCGAGACACCGTAATGTATTTAGTTACGTATAAACTTGTTACTTTGTAATGAGAAAGAAAAACGTACATTATATATATATATATATATATATATATATATATATATATATATATATATATATATATATATATATATATATATATATATATATATATATATATATATATATATATATATATATATATATATATATATATATATATATATATATATATAAATATATATATATGTTCATAGTTGTTTTCATAACAATATACACGCTCTATCTCATAAATATATATCTTCAAGACTATATATATATATATATATATATATATATAAAAGATAAAAAATAAATATAATAATTACAGGAGTGGTGTAATTAATGTAAAATATTATGTATATTTTTGTCATTACATACATATATATATATATATATATATATATATATATATATATATATAATGGATGTTTCATTAAATAATATATACAAGTTTTGTCTATTTATTTTAAGTTCCTTTCATATTGTCTGATAAGCTTAACATTATTATTGAAAGACGAAAGGAAATCACCATATTGATACATGTTTAAATCCAATCTAAGCTTTCCGCTTACATAAGCCATTATCAAAGATGACAAATACAATTGTCTATATTATTTAATGAAGCATGCATTAGTGAAAAATTGTTGCCTAAATATTGCACATATAATATATATATATATATATATATATATATATATATATATATAACATTGAATTATTTATCCCTCTACGAGAGTCATTACGTCATTATTGTTTTATATTATTATGTCACACGAAGACATAGGTGGATATTGTTGATATGAAAGTAGAAGCTAGACCTTTCCACCAACAATATATTTTCTTGCCATTTTAGACATACTAAGCTAGTCTATTCATATCTATCTATCTATCTATCTATCTATCTATCTATCTATCCCCATTCTATTCATATCTATCATTCTGTTCATATCTATCTATCTATTCATCTATCTATCTATCTATCTATCTATTTATCCCATTCTGTTCATATCTATCTATTCATCCATCTATCATCTATCTATCTATCTATCCCATTCTGTTCATATCTATCTATCTATCTATCTATCTATCTATTCATCTATTCATCTATCTATCCCCATTCTGTTCATATCTATCTATCTATTTATCGCATTCTATTTATATCTATCTATCTATCTATCTATCTATCTATCTCTATATATATATATATATATATATATATATATATATATATATCCTTCTGTTCATATTTATCTCATTCTGTTCATATTCTATCTCAGTGTGTTCATATCTCTCATCTATCTATCTTTGTAATTCTGTTCATATCTATCTCATTTTGTTCATATCTGCCTATCATATTTTTTTAATATCTATGTAATTATATTCCTATCTATCTATCTATCTATCTATCTATCTACCTATCTATCTATCTATCTATCTATTTCAATTCCTGAGAAAGGACTGATTGATCATCGCTTTACAGCAAGCGCCCACAACTTGGAGAAATATTCCTCGAGTGGCATTGTTTTTTCCCAAGTTTCTGTTTTAATATAGGAAAGATAAATGCAAAGGAAACAACCCCAAGTTCCTACTTCTGAGCAAAAGCCGAATTCACTGCCAAATGCTTACGGTTTGAATTGCCATTGCCTTTTCTTGTCACGATGAACGGCTACACTCTCAACGAAGTTCCATGCTTTGAACGTCAACTGGTTCCTAAGTTCAGACCTCAGGTGAAACTCATATGCACACTATCCGTTGTTAAGAGGTGCTGATAAGATGATCGGCTTATTGTACTGGTCAAGGAAGTACCTGACCCCTTCTACTATGCTTTACATTTTCAGCCTTGGCATAAATCCTTTAATATGATCTTGTAGGGGGGGGGCGACTAATTTTCCATTCAAAAGCCTCTTTCCCTGCAGACGGAAAGTTGCAAGCCTATCGCTAATCGATATTTCCATGGAAAATGCTCAAATGAACTCCACTCCTTGGTGAATGCTACACTGAATTCTACTATCTAAATAGGAGTAGATACATTTGCCTAATGCCCTGTTTATACTCCTCCCCGGTATTTTGAAAAGGAGTAGAAGTTTATACTTTTTTTCTTGTTTAAGATTGGGTTTGCGGCTCATTCTAAAGTTTTTTTTCATTCCTAGAATTCCCTTGCGTCTTAGTGGCATCATCGCCTTGCTTGGGGCGAATTGATCAGTCTCTATCTATCCCTGTTATCGTTATAATTTTAACTTACTTCTACCTACTTTTACATTTATATCATGCCCCTCATTCACTAACCCTCTACCTTTTTAGCCTCGTACTGAGCGAACAGTATAAAAAATAAAGAATCTGGGATAATATAAGTTATGCATAATTCTAATTTAAAATAAGTGGTATTTGTTATTTACCGAACTAGGATTTTACACAATATTTTTCTTTATGTTTTTATCTCCTCTATATAATATGTAATTTTTCTTTCTTGTCTTAACTTTGACAGCATTAGTTCTGTACGAAAGTTCTCTGCGTTTTATATCTTGTCCTACATGTCTCGAAAGCAGTAAAACATATAGGATCCCAGGTTTAATTATCTCTGTATTTCCTGCTTGAAGACCAACTCTGCATTTTATGACATTGGAATGGCTTTTTAGATGAGGGGAGTGTGACTAGTTTTGTGGGATTGGCCGGGGGTACAGTATTATGGAAACTTTCTGACAGACGAATGGTGTAATTCATTATTTTGTGACGTTCGACACTTGCCCACTAAGAAGCGTGCTGGATTATTGTTCCTGCTTATTTTTACAGTCTTCACTTTATCTATAATAATCAGAACACTTCTGGCCTGTTATATTCTTCAGTCTTCCTTTAATACCTAATGTTTTTAGTATTACGTAATCATTTGGCACCATTCTTCGTGTAATTTGGAACATACGTCAATGTCTGATATGGGGATCTCTAGGTTGCTTAAAGATTAAAGAAAATGGAGTCGGTGTTCTGGGTTGAAATTCCGATAGATTCTGTTAAACTATTTACATTATACGGACTATTGTCCTCATTTTGTTGCCATATTTATCACAACGTTTTGGCTTTTCAGTATCTGTCTATATTTCTGAGGTGAGGTATTATGTGCACTATTTACATTATTAGGCCTATTGTCCTCATCTTTGTTGCCATATTTATTAAAACTTTTCGTCCCTTCAGTATCTGTCTATATTTCCGTGATGAGGTATTATGTACACTATTTACATTATTCGGCCTATTGTCCTCATCTTTGTTGCCATATTCATCACAACGTTTCGGCCTTTCAGTACCTGTCTATATTTCTTAGATAAGGTATTATGTACACTATTTACATTATTCGGACTATTGTCCTCATCGTTGTCGCCATATTTATTACAACGTTTCGACCGTTGTACGCTCCGGCCTTCTTTAGGTGGTTGTAATGTCGAACTGAACCCTTTATTTCGCTCACTGGGGTGGACTGTTCTAGTTCCACGTACCATGTTTAATGGATGTCAGTTATCAGTTATCTCCTGTTAATTCCCTTCTTCAAGTTCTCCACCTCCTTAACCAGGTATTGAACTCACACTCTTTGGGTCCTGTCACTGTGCCATATGACCTTGAGGACATTCCAACCACCTGAAGAAGGAGCGCACAACGTCCGAAACGTTGTAATAAATATGTATGAAATATTGTATGAAATATAGACAGATTTCGATACGTTTACTTTCGAACGTTGCCCTTGGCAAACGCATCTCTTCTTCCCCCTGCTAAGGGTTAATTAATTCACATATAATACAGATTATACTATGGAGAATCGTGATCGCCTACGTAATGAAAGGAAAAGGAAAACGTGGGGAGCCATGATCATTTACATTCTGAAGGAAGATGTATTTGATAAAAATGGCAAGTACATTTTAGTTCCTCACTTGTATGTTGCGGCCAGAAAGTGGGGGATTAGCTATATTTCTCTTGTTTTTAACATTTTTTATTTTCTATGGAATTTTGTTTTCAAATTGATATTAAATGCATGCAGATTTCTTCATTAATCACTGAAATTCATAGCGTTATTATTCAGTCATAAAACATTTTGCTTGATGAGCTCCTGTCGTTAGAAAATAGCTTCAGCTAAAATTTTCATGTTCCTCATATATTATATTTATACAAATTATCTGAAGTTGACAGGTGTGAAGAAGGCGCTATTTGAAGAAGTTTCCATACTACATTAATCGTTTGCTGTGTCGTTCTCATGTAACATAATCGAAATCCTTGGACAGAAAATAATATTCTGCGTCGTTCAAATGGGCCAGTTGCTCGAGGCACCGGTGCGTAGTCACTGTTTATCTAGGCTGCGGCAATCCACAATAAAGGTTCATAATAATATTCTTTTTGAATACCCCGTCATCAAAAAAAAAGGATAAACATTTTTTGCCAGTAGATTGCATTCAGGTTGTGTTGTTGACATCTGTCCAGAATGAATTATTATTATTATTATTATTATTATTATTATTATTATTATTTGTGCATGTTATGTTTCCTGCTTAGTAGCCTGTAGAGCCGGGTCAAAAATATGGCCCATAGGCCCTATTGGAGAATTGTCATTTAACTGATAGCATTTTCTTAGTATATGGGATGTTCTTAGTAGAGTGATTTTCTGGGCAACTTGTATGTTGATGTTACCTGGGACACTGCTAGTAATACTGCCCATTCCTTTTCTCACGAGGCCCAGTGCTCCGATTATTATTGGTACTGTTTGTCTTCATTCCCCACACCCTGTTAATCTCGATCTCCAGGTCCTTGTATTTGGACAATTTTTCGATAATTTTTATGGAGGTGTTTCTCTCAGATGTTACTGTTATGTCAATAAGAATACACTTCCAGTACTTTTTGTCTTTTATGATAATATCAGGCCTGTTGGCTTTTATTTCCCAGTCAGTTTGAATTGGCATGTCCCAGAGGATAGTTACATCATTATTTTGGTTAACTGTGTCTGGTTGGTGTTCATACCATCTTTCAGTGGTTTCGATTTTGTGCTTCTTGCATATCTTCCAGTGCACATATATCGCTACCTTGTTATGCCAGTGGGTATATTCATTTTTTGCTAGTTCTGGACATCATGAGATAATATGGTCGACAGTTTCATTATATTTTTCACAGATCCATCCTTGATTGTTTGACAGTGATTCAATCTGGTTGCGAGGCTTTGGTCCTGAGCTGCAATAATTAGGCCTTCTCTGTCTCAGCTTTCAACCCGGTGCTCCTCAGTCACTGATGTCTTTTTTATCTTGGTTCACATCTGCTTCTTTCGTTCCTTCTAGTTATTTGCCGCACGATGACCTGTCCTCCCAGATTTTTTTTTTTTTTGTAATTTCATTTGGCCAAGTCGTTTTTCTTTCTCTTTTACTCATTTGGCGTAGATCATATTCGCTTATTTTTTGTTGGTAGGATTTCAGGTATATTAAACTGTTTCTTGAAGAGTGCTGCTTCATAGTTGATGTAATGAATTTGGTGTTTTACTATCTGTAGGAGAGTGTTATTGGTTCACTTGTGAGGTATTCTTCCAGTTTCATTCTAGCCGTTTTTAGAGTTAGTTCAAATTAGATTAGACCTCGTTCTTCTAAAGCTCTTGCTACATAGAGCCTATCAATTCGGGTTGTGTTTCTGGTCTAGGCGTCCAATCTTTTAAAGTCATTCAAGTTCCAATTAATAATGTTGAAGCTGTATGTTACCACGGGTATAGTTAAAGTGGTGATAGCCTTCATTTTATTGGGCCCCATTAAATTCGCTTTCTAGTTTCAAAAGCAATCTTCTAAAATATTCTTTTCGGACCTTTTTCTTTATAATTGAATGTTGTATTCCGTCTTCATTAATTCCTCAGTATTTGTATGGAACATCTTGGCTTCCTTAATCTTGTTGTTGATATCAAGGTCTAAATTTGTAGTTTTTGTTAGTTTACCGCCTTTGAGGGTGATTTTGGTACATTTGTCGATTCCGAACTCCATCTTTGTCTTCGCTGAAGGTTTTGACAATGATGAGTAGGTTTTTTTTCTACTGGTTGTCATCCTTGGTAAACGTTTTAAGATCATCAATCTAGAATAGGTGATTCAGTTTGCCCTCCTGTGATTTGTATCCGTAG